AAGCCTGTGTGCCTGTAATCAGAAGGTCGCCCTGAGGCCCTTAACCCCCAGCTCCCTGGGCGCCCTGAGGCCCTTAACCCCCAGCTCCCTAGGCGTCCTGAGGCCTTTAAAACCTCAGCTCCTTGGGCGTCCTGAGGCCCTTAACCCCCAGCTCCCTGGGCGCCCTGAGGCCCTTAACCCCCAGCTCCCTGGGCGCCCTAAGGCCCTTAACCCCCAGCTCCCTGGGCACCCTAAGGCCCTTAACCCCCAGCTGCCTGGGCGCCCTAAGGCCCTTAACCCCCAGCTGCCAGGGCGCCCTAAGGCCCTTAACCCCCAGCTCCCTGGGCGCCCTGAGGCCCTTAACCCCCAGCTGCCCGCAAAGGGGTGGCTGCCCTTTGCGGACAGCATACTCTTCCCTACAAAGAGCAAGCTGGGGGGGGGGCATAAAGACAATCTTCCCATGGGGATTAATAAAGTATCAATTATTACGTTCAGGATATGCAGGTAGGCATCACAATGTAGGAACTCCATGTATGGGAATAAAGAGTCTAGGCCAATGAATTTGGATGACATATGAATTTAGATGACTCATATGAATTTAGATGACTCGTATGAATCTGGATGACTCGTATGAATTTGGATGACTCGTATGAATTTGGATGACTCATATGAATCTGGATGACTCGTTTGCCACATGCATCATTAATAACCAAACACCCTTAAAAGTTTGCGCAATGGGCTCCTTGACAACAAATCCTTATTTACCTTGGTGGCTTTTTGTCATCCATATTAATATCTCAATTATTTATAGTGATACAAAATTAGTTTCTGCTGCTGTCCTTGCTTTTTAAACAATTAATCATTACTATTAATTACCTCACCACAAATCTCATTCCTCTTTGCTAGATTGATATATTTTTTTCATCCGAGGTTCCAGAAGACATCATACGCACGTTTTCTTATATGTTACAGCTCTTTACTTTTTTATTAATCATTATTGTCATGACCTGCTTGTACGATCCTCCCATGTGCCACACCCCCCTCATTACCTCGTGTGAAATCCCGATGTGACCAGCTGTCCCGTGTTATTTCTGATTAGTCTCTTGTATTTGACGTCCGTGTTCCAGTATGTTTCCCCAGTCCTGTCATAGATATTTTCACCGTGTTGTGCTCTGCCGGCAATAAACCCCCTTGTTTTGGATCTCCATGTGCCTGACCCTGATTCCCTGCTTTCTGTTCGCTCGTCCTGCACACGGTCATCACAATAATACACACTACAGAGATTCATTATCAAGTGGTTTCTGCATTTGTAGTATTCCATTATACCCAATTGTCCTCCTTCCTTGCAGTTTAACAAACTGCTTTAAATAAGCTGGAATATTTTACTTCTGGCACAGTTCACTGTTCTGCAAGATACAAGTTTCTAAGCCATCGCAAGTGATGGGCATTTTATTAGCCGTATTAAGTGTAATATGCAGGTGCAAAGTGATTGACGTATTTGATTAAAGCAGCCAAAATCCAGACTGTGCTGCACGAATTCAAATCCAGAAGGAGAGGCTGTGAATTTTGAGTGATATCCAAAGTTGAGGATGAGGAGTCCTTTGCTTTGGAGCCGAACCACAGCTCAGATCATGGCAAGGAAGTGGACCGGGATGCACAGGAGGGCACCTCAGGTGCCAGATTTAGGGGGCTTTTTCCAGGCTGTTGGCACGAAACAGTCCATCTCATGCTATCAAAAATTCAGCCGCTCGCACGTCTGAGGAACCATCCAGAGGGAAGGCGGAAAAAAAGCAGTGAGATATTTGGTTTTTCCTCCCATTTCTTGCAGATAAAAATGAGATCGCCATGGCACAAAGATGGGAGGTGCAGCTTAGGTTCGCACTTCTCATGGGAAATCATTTCTGAAAGTCTCACAGAAGGCCTAACACCAGATTTCTGCAAGGTTTTCTTAGGATGTGTCATAATGTGATTACTGTAAGAGAGCCTCTGCTTCTACTGCTTGACTCCATCAATCATATACACCTCAATTATTTCTCTCTTGATTTACTGATGACTTTTTGCACTAGATTTGCGGCTTGACGCCTGCAGAAATCTACCACCAATGAGAATTGAGGGTTTTTTCCACTGTTTTTTATTTTTTTTTGGTCAAATATTTTTTAGGTGAGATGTCAGGCAAGTGGGAGATAGATGACAGGGGCTTTAGCTCGCCTGCCAGTCACATGGCCCAAACACGGCGCCTATTCAGGAAAGACATACATCTAGCTAAAAGATTATCTTAGCAGGAAAGTATTACGGACTTAAAAATGAAAAATAACCAATAAAAATCAAAATAAAACTACAACTGCATGCCATGTATAGAACCGACAGAAATAAAAAGTAGGTCAGCTAAAAAACATTTAAAAATGCTGAAATTACACCTCTATTATTCAGAATAAATGTCTGAATTATGAAAGTCTTTTGTTTTAGAGATTATGAGGACTTATATGGTGTTCAGTGGATCTGGATTTCTGAAATGTGTTAATCAATTGGCATTTGAGAGTAATCTCGCCTGTGTGTGTCACATGCAAATATGGTCGCTGTCTGTGGGCACGAGTGTCAAAGGAAAACAAAAATGAACAGCAATCTTTTTTATCCAGGGGGGTGGTTCGTCTGTCCTCTCTGGGACTGCTCCCCTGTGTGAGGGCTTCAGCCTGGACCCCTGGGGGATTGTTCGGGCTGGGGGGGTCCCGCCGTGTGTACCTCTATAGCAGCCGTGATGAACGAGTTCCCAGCTATCCTGGGAGTCCCTGGTTGGCGCAGGATCAATCTGCTTATCTGTTACCTGCCAGTGCCATGCAGTGATTAACGCCACCAGCCTGCCAACAGCTTCCCTATTCATTACGGGAGTCCGCGGCTTCACCGTCCTGCCCGCTTTGATGGCGCCCCCCCCCCCCCCCCCCACATAAATCTGATAACTACCTTTTTAAAAAAAAATAAAAAAATGACTCTATTCAGGAATGCAGGACTGGGGAAGTCCATCCGACCTCACAAGAGGAGAAGTCCTTATCAGTAGGGGTCAACACTGGGAATGCAGTCCTCCATTACGGCAAAGGTCAATGATGATTTGCCAGTGGGTGGGGGAGGGGGGGGGTGGCTGTCTTGTCAGGATATGCTGACTATAGAGCCGCCCAGAATGATAAAATTCGCTCACAGTTGATTTTTTTTGTCATGTAGCCAACCAGAGAATGAATTTTATAGATGAGCAGTTGAGGAAGACCCCAAGTCTAGCACTAATGGAATTTTCAAATTATTTTCCTTGTCTAAAAGATGAATGGTTTTGGCAATCAAATGTACCAGCATGTCAGTGTTTTGCCATTTGGGAAGTAACCGGTTGTGTCTACAAGTTAATATTTGCACGATAATTTATTTGCAGCTCTCAGAATGTAATGTATTGAGGATTTTTTGTTTTATTATTGTAGCTTGAAATAGTTCCTCTTCCAAGTGATTTACTGCTGCAGAGTGACGGCTCTGCTCTTCCTCGAGCTGATCTGTTGGAACATTAATGACGAGGTTTTGTTGTGCGTTGGCCAGACGTGAGTGGATTGTGGCACCAGGCTCATCTCCCTTCACGCTGCTTCTGAGGTTCTTCGTGCTTTTTTCCCCATGCATACAATGAATAGGCATTTGCACATCAATTAATGTCACATATCACTCCAGAAATTGTGCGTGCATCACAAAAGATCAAGGAGGTCAAGAAAACAGTAATTTCCAAAGTGTAAATATATCGATAGATAGATAGATAGATAGATAGATAGATAGATAGATAGATAGATAGATAGATAGAGATGGATGCTGATTTTGTTAAGTCCAGTTCAAATCAATCTAATGCCCCCCCCCTTCCTCCCCAGTGTCAGATGGTTCAGTTCCTCCAATCAGACCAGAGCAAATGAATACTTCTGCTAATAGTCCAGCATTGGACTCCATCCAGAGGCTGCAGGCCTCAGGGGTTCTGGGATAAGCCACTGCTTTCTGTTTTCAGATCAGTTCCACTTACTTTTGTACCATTCCCTCCCCAGCCTAGCTGGCCCAAAGCACTTAACACGGATCGACATCACAGACAAACATAAAAACAAATTAAAGATACACTGGATTAAATATCTCGGTAGTGTACGAGGTCAGAACACAAAAGAATCGCTAACAAAAGCCCTTGTGTTAGTTGCACCCTCTGGGGGTTCAAGGTCAATGACTAGCCAACAACGTACCCAAAATGCTAATATTGCTAAAGTGAGAATGGACAGGTTTGCGTTTCGCAGTGTAATCTTCTTTTCAGCATTGTTTTAGATGCATACAGCAGTGGGCAGGCCGTGATAGCACCAAATCCCTAGCCTACGTCAAGACAGCCGACTACACAGCTCAAACTCCGGCTGCTCAAGTACGCCCCCTAGAGTTGCAACCTAATTCATAATTCAATTATGTAAATTCAAAGTAGGGGTACAGATGCGTAAAGACATAGCTTGTCTTCCAGTGTCTCTCCAAGACCTCTAAGAAGTTTCTCTGGCATTACATCTCAGCTGTGTCAAAATATTTATTTATTCGGAGAAAATAAATAAATAACATCATTGCTAAGACAGTGCATTCTGCCGCTTTTCTGCCCCCCTTTGTCAAGCCTTATAAGCCGGCGCATTTTAGTGGCTTTGAAGTGGTAGGCCCCCGTCAGCTCTGTGTTCAGCATCATCACCTATGGGGGATTTCTGCCTGGGTCTGCTCATCAGTCTTTGATAGATTCCAGTACATGTGAGAGAGTCCCAGTCAGGGGAACCGGCTCCTATGCAAAGCAAACATATATCATATATATATAATCCAATAATGTATCAACAACAATATTAATAACAAGCAAAAGAATTCCATCATTTTTTCCTTAAATTAAAACGAACAATGCGTTCACAGTTGCAAACCCAGTCACATGAGTCAATGAATTTGCACCTTGAATGTGTTAGTTTATCATCATCATCATCATCAGAATGCTTTCTGCTTCACTTCCTGTCTTAGCTGTTAAGCAGAAAAAGGTGTTGTTTACAAATGGGAGAAGGCTCAAATCTAACACGTTAATATAGTTACATTGGGGGCAACTTTCCCCAGCATCTGTTTTACAATATCTGGCATAATCTTAGTTGAAATGGTACCAAAGGAAGAAAAGACAGAATAACAAAAATAAAGGATGTATAAGTTTACAGCCAATGAATTTCTGATTTCTGTGATATCGGTGCCACTTTTTTGTCATCTGTTCTGAAGCAGACTGTTCTCTCATCCAGGCAAAAGTAACATCTACATCTTCTTCTACAAGCTCACAGCTCCAGGGTCACTTCTGATCTTGGTGCTTGAACGTGCTGGATTCTGATGTCAACCTCATCAGTAACCCTTATGACATCTACCTTAGACTGCGTGAGGCCTTACTCAGTTTCGTGAAAAATAAAATGAGTTTCACACTGCTGGCCTTTTGTCATAAGAAAGCCCAGAGAGATCAATAAGATGTCTCTTATCTCCAACGAGTTGTGACCAGAGTTATACAGCATATTATAAGGTATTTCAAGTGTGCTGTACACCCCTATCAATAATTCGGCAGACTTAAACACTGCACACTTATAAATGTGCCCCCAGCCCAACTTTCTGTTCAATTTCTTGATTTCTTCATCCCAGGAATGCGATGAAGATGTGTACACTTCAAAGGAGCCAATTTTTTTCTGATATGTAACATTCCCTCTGAGTCCCCAGTACAATCCCTCATAATTAAGTCAGCAATCTCAGCCTGTGACACCATGTGTTAAAGTGTCAAGCAATAGTGTAATTTTCTTTGCAATTCTTCATGCAAGTGGACATGCAGGCGAGCCAGGTTTTATGCATACGAAGTAGGGTAGGCGTTAGCATTACGGCTAAAGTTTCTTTTCCAATATGCTATTTGATCACTTTCTTTTTATGTTAAATTAAAAGTGAACCAACGTGTAGAACTGGTGCATTCAACAAATACAGACCATGAATGCTGTACTTTCTGCTGACTTGAATAGTTGGCTTGTTAGTTTCTCGCTTTGTTTGGCAGATGATCCGCAGCTCCTGCTCCAATCCTGCTGACACCTGGGCATTGAGAAGAAGCTCCGTCTAGCTGCACTTACGTCTAGTCGGCTCCCGGACAGCCGTATGTTTGTAAAGTGCTATTTGCTTCATTTGTACTTCACTTTGGACTTTCGCTGAATAAAGTAAACATGATGTGATGTGAATGTGCTCATTGTGGGAATATCGCTTTGCGAGACTGTCGACGTCACCCTGGATATTGATTCCACCCCAGAATTCAGCTGGAAATTTGGCTGCGGCCGTCCTATAAGGACTCAAGCCTTCCCCACCTCTCCTTACCTGCCTCGCAACTGTAGCAAATGTGCATTTCATCTTATGGTAGCTTTTTTGTCTTTACACGACACAGTCTCTCTCTTTTGATGCAGGATGACGTGCAGCTGGGACACAGCTAGAGTGAATTAGACATAAATGTGTCTCTGTGTTTATATACATTACCGCCAACGGTTCATGCCCTTAAGGTTTTTGCTTTTGTTTTCTGTTCACCTCTCTGTTAGGTGCAGGAAATGTTCCTTTGCTCACCATTGCTTCAGTGATATATATTTTTTTTGTACAGGGTCCAGGTAAATATGATGCTCAAAATGAAAGCCTTAATTATGGCGGCAAAATAAATCATTTGTGAGGGATAGCGTAAACGTTGCGGCAGGAATGTAAGCATGCATACTTTGGGTGAGATAGATCTTGTGCATTGATAGATATTTAATGGCTGATTACCCCGCGCAGTTTTCCAGGGCCCCGGATTCTTCCCAGGAACGCGCCGGCTTCTCGCTGCTCTGGTGCCTTCCATCGCATCACAGATATTTTTTTGTTTCGCGTGACCTCCACGATGTGTCTTCCACATGCTTCATTTTTCCAACCCACTTGTAAATTGCCGGTGCCTTAAAAAAAAATAATAAAAATTCTAGCTCAAAACAAAGCCCAGAGTCTCTGGAGAATACTAGGCGGTATACTGAAGAATCACTACACTATACACTGCTTGCATGTTTCATTTTTCAGTGACATTGTGGTTCTATCTATCTATCTATCTATTATAGTCAAAAATGAACTTACAGTAGCAGTAGTTTATTACTTTATAAACAGAAGGCTAAATCCTGGTTGATTAGTTCATAAGATATTTCAGAAATCCATTCTTTTTATGCTCAGAGACATTACAAGACAGAATTTAATGCTAATGAACAATAGCGGAGTCCCAAGATACAGTTATATGTACAGCAATTAATATGAAATGTTGCATGGATTTAAATATTTATATCCCTTGATAAATAATTAGGAGGTGCACTACCCAACCATTAAATTTTTCTCTTAAATTCATTATAAAGTCAAGTAGAATTTAAATTGTTAAGGGAAAATAATTACATATTATTCTTTTCCCTTGAAAGCAATAATGATGCATTGATTCTGAACCGTGAGAGATGGTTCCTTAAAAAAATTAAGTCATTGATTATTATAACAAAAATTTTTGCACTTCATTGACTTCGTTACACTCTCATTATTTTACCCATGATGCAAATGTATTCCAGAAAGGAAGGCCTCAACATATCAAATGGGCAGTAAACAGAAGAGGCTATTAAGCATTTGTTTAAAAGAAAAAAACAATACTAGGGACCATATGCTGTAGTGCGAAAATAGGAGGAAACCCAACACTGATCCTTGAAGGATTCCAGTAGCTCTGTGGAACACAAAGTAGTTAAAGGAGACCTGACTCGGGCTGGGAATCTTAGCAAATGTTTAAAGCGATTTTACTGCCTGTAACTCATAGCCAAACTATCACATTCCTCACAATTAATTTCATTCCCCCTAATTGGAGTAGGTCAACAAAATCATAAAGCACATGAGATAGTATAGAATTGTATTGTACAGACCTATTGATGATGATAATAATAATAATGATGATGATATTGATAATAATAATGTTATATATTTTTAGAATTTTATTTAATAAATTATTAATAAAATCATTTTTAATCTATACTTGTTTGATGGTATTTTGATTGATAGTCTATCTCAAGTTATGCCAGCTATGTTTACAGGCCACAAGGGCCATCTTCCGGAATGTTCCTTTTCAGTGATTTCAGAGAGGTGCTTGAAGCCGGTAGATTATCTCAGAAAAGCTGCATTGTGGGACCCATGAATAATTTGTGATGGTAATTCATAAGTTAGTATTATATTCAAAGCATCCCTGTCTGGCCGTAATAATATGGTAATGCGTGGAGAGAGATTCGGCAGGAACATACATCACGTCAAGTGTTTGGTTTTGAAAGGCTTGTTTTAGATGGGAAAATCATCCACTGATGTACGGTAAATATGCAGCCTGGTCCCGTGAAGTGCGGCTGCAATTTTGGATCGACGGAATCAAGTGAGCCTAACGTCGATCAAACAAAAACAGAAGTGGAAAACAATGGTGTCAGATTTTACCAACTCATCGCCAAACAGGGCTGTCCAGAGTTATGGGGACCTTTTATGCGATTAAATTTAACAGTCCAGCTCATATCACTGTAGCTCTCTGAGGGTATATGGCCCTCGTAACCATCGCAGAAAAGACCCTCGCCGGACACATAGCCTAACCGACATCCACGGCTCCCAGGGCGAGGTCTCCTGTGGAGTGTATATATGACATTCCACGTCCATGTTTCGGAATTTTAATTTGTCAGGACTGGCTGACCGGCTCGTTAGTGAAATGGAGTCTTTTCATGGGGACATGCTGACCGCGCTGCAAACTACCATATTCCCCAGTCACTCGCACATCTGCTGCTCCTTCTTGTCAACTGAATCCCATCCAAAAGAAGGGGAATTAACCTTTAATGGCGAGAGACTTTGGGAGATTTTCTGTGCCAATAAGCTAAAATCGCTAATAATATATATTCGTTCAAATTCCAGGTTGCAAAGGCTTGACTGATCAACAAAAAACACACAACAGCAAAAAAAAAAGAAGGATTTAAAAACACAGAGACTTTTTCAGTGTATATGGAAACTTTCCAATAAAACTGGGTGTTTCTGTTGAGGGGTGGGTGTTATAGAATATGAATGTATAACAGCAGCCAGATACAAAGATAAGTATTTGATTCTATAGCATACAATAACTTTGTTCTTACTCTCACATGAAATTTAGGACAGAGCATTAATCCATACCTGGTTAACGTGCTTAAAGCTGAAGGGCACTGGAAACCCAAATGTTTATGAATGTCAGCCTCAACAGCGTGGGAGAGAGTTTGCTATTAGAGGACAGCCATGTTAATAATTCAAACACAAAGGTCTATTTACTGGAGGGATTAATGAAGCCAAATGAAATATTGGGGGATACACCCCCCCAACCCACAATTCCTACACCACGCTTGTGGGCTGAATACTGCCCACTCTTTTGTTTTGGAACCTTTTCTTTTTTTGCTACTGAATCCATTATTATTTAGTAGCTTCACAGTAACCAGGTTCCACATACAGACGTGTTGCTCCATCAATCTTTCATTCTGACTCACAGACCTTCCACCCATTTCTCCTCATCTCCCAAAGGTAGGATAGAATCACACAAAAGGTAAATGCTGAGATGACAGAGTGACGGAATGTGCATTCTTTTTAAGGTGAGAGATGTATTTATGTTTCTTCCGTAATATATCCGAATTCCAGTTCACAATTCCGAAGACAGGAAAGTGACGGACGTTGACCAAAGTACAGTGTTGGTGCAGTGATGGTAATATGGAACATGAAGGGATATATACTTTGCCTTTAAAATATATTTTTGAAAACTACTTATTAATGTCTTTAACTCTCACCACCAGTCACTATTGTGAAATTAGAAACACACATTGGAATAAATGTAACATATTGTAATATTAGCCTGCTAGCTCAGTAAGCTAGGTGTAACGCATACTAACTAGCGATGTTATAAAATGCAACGTAATATGCGGTCTATCGTCAAGATCCATTGAAATGCTCTCTGCCAGGCATACAGCTTTTCTCCAGTTTACGAATTTTTATTCTGGCGATCGATGGTTAAAAATAATCAGTGGATCCACGGCCCATGGCCGGTGAAGCTAAAAGATCAACCCCACCCACACCGCACCTGATTGGCTGAGCTACGCGAACTTGCGGGTCAAAGTTCGATGCAGATCAACTTGGTGCAAAATCGCTTTGCGAAATCACTCTGCTGCCGGAAGTGAGGAATCTGATTTTCGCGTCTCGCGGCTATAATAGAAGTGAATGAGACACGAATCTTTTTTCGCACTAGTGTGACTGCTGCTATAGGCAGTAAGGCAGAAAATACAGGAGAATAAAATGCCTTTTTGTAGTAATTCTTTTTTCTCCTCTGGAATTCACTGAAGTGACCTACATGTGTGTTCTCTTGAGCGCCATCCAAAAGAATATCAGTGACTTTAATTAAATTTTCCATAAAAACAACATGGATGGCGTACAGCTCAGTGCATTAGGGATTGGTCCCCATGTCCGCAAGCTTGCAGGCAGATTAATCATACCACCGCTGGGTCTTTCAGCGAGGTCCTTAACCCCTACGACTTCAGGGATGCTGGCCAGCCCTGCTCCCCGTCTTGCCTTGTTTGTTCATCGCTATGTGTAAAACGATCCGCTAAATAAACATAAGATCACGGGAGTCGGCAGGGAGCGCGGCGAGAGCTCAACACCGGCTCATCAGTTAGACGATGTGTGAAGAGGATGGACGAAGTGGGACAGCTCCTCCTCTTCCTCCCCCTCACTCCCGGAGCGATCTTCTGGCCGCGCCTCCGGAGCGGGTGCCCGGAGATGCCGCCAGCTCGATCCGCTGAGGTCGTCTCCCCGAGGAAGCGGCAGCCTTAATTACTGTCTCCCCCCCACGTTAATATCCCACGGTGCCTGTTCCCAATTAAACATGCGACTGCATTTGTTGGCAGTTTGCATCCGTAAACGGGTGGGGTAATCGGGGTTCCGTTTGACACGGAGTGTCGTTTCTGTGTCAGCTCCCGGGGGGAGAAGCTGCTATGAAAATGACAGGCGGGGAGCAGCCTTAAACTACTGATAAATTAAATCACTTATGGCTCTCATTACTTAATAAATAATTTATCATCCCTCCCAATTAATCAATCATACACATTCCATGACGCCCCCATCTCTCTCCCCAATTAAAGACATCGGGATACGTCAGCATGCTCCATACTTACAATTTCATCATTAACATCGGACACGGAAGTCGGTACACGTAGATAAATTATAATTGCGGGTTGGTGTCGAATTTTACATTTTCTTCCAACTATTAAGGCCCGTACGGCCTTAATAATGAACGGACCTTGTCCTCAGCACCCATGAAAGTTAGTAAGAATAGAAAACTTGCAAATAAAAATTCTGGCCGGATGCCTTGAGACTGCACGGCTCGCTTTGTTTTCAGAGCGAGTCTGATCCCCCAGTAAAGGACAGAGTGAGAAGTGCTCTGTTTTTAGAAATGCATTCATTACTTCCGTAGATCTTAGAAAAACAGCTCTTGCCTTATATATCGTTCTTCTGATTCTCGCTGTGTCTTACAAACCCATAAAGGTTGATTCTATATTAATATGATTTATCATTTTAATCTTACTAAGCTGTATAATTCAGCTGATATATTTACAATGCTCTAGTCTTGCCCTAATAAATAACATATACATCCTGTACAATATATTGCAACACTGTAAAAACCTAATATAAGAGATACTCAGACCAAAAATATGATGGGGGACTGTTTTCCTGCTAGACAAGTGTTAAATACAAGAGCATCCAGTGTTGTCAAGAGAGCGTCTCCAAGGGATGGCAGATGAAGATGACGGGCAGCTCCGTGGTCCAGTGGGCTAGTTGAGATGTTCCCGGCAAAGACGATCCTTCCAGAATTTCTTGAAGTCTATTTTTTTTTTTACATTGATGGAATTCTGTGCTCGTTAATAGACTCATTTTATTTTAAATGCCAAGATTTTTTTTTCTCACAAAGGCCTCAGTCTTGGTTATATGTTATATGTGATTGACATCACAAGGGTTTCATATATAACTCCAACCTGGGTTCGTCGCAAACAGCATGTGTTTGTGTGTTTACATGCCTTAAAGTGACTGTTAATTAGTGTACCATCAGAGTATCATCATAACTTGGGTAAGAAGTCAAGGAACATTTATTTATTGACAAGAAAAAAACAACTTACCTTAGATAAATGTAACAGGCAAACCGTTTACCAAAACAATCTTTTTGTATCTCATTCCCTTTCACATGGACTCCAACTTGAGTATTTCACTATCTTGGGACACAAGTCGAAAACCATAGAATGTCTCTTGCTGATGTCAGGAAATGTCTAGTTCTCAGTTCAAAGTAAATTCCATACAATGTTCTTTGTCTGCGTATACAGTGATTGGATTATTTATATGAATAAGCAATATTTTGCTGTAATTTTTGGATGAAATTGCATCGAATGGAAGGGTTGGGAAATTTTCTGTAAGACCAATGCAAACATTTTAATTATGTGTGCTCTCTCTGCCCCTCCCCCTCACTTAATTGTATTTGTGTCAACACAGAAGGGTATCAATAGAAGGACGTTTGTCTTTGCCATGTTCTATATCTGGAACATCCATCTATAGTCTATCCATCCATTTTTTTAAACCACTTAGGGTCATGGGGGGGTCCAGAGCCTATGGGTGCAAGGTAGGGGACAACCCAGGGTGGGGTGCCAACCCATTCCAGGACACACACACACACACACACACACCTCTATCTAAACTGGGGACCTTCCATTCATTTCTATGGGAAAAACCCTAATCCCAGTCATGACACCCGTAACCCCTACCAAGCCCTAACCTTAACCAAAAGTAACCAAACAAAATACACCTTTTGGCATTTTAGCTTTTTTGATTGCATTCACAGATTTTTATAAAATTGAGCTTATATCCAAATGGGGACCTGAGAATTGTCCCCAAAGGTAAAGACGTTTCATTGCACTTTGGTCCCCAAATGTGATCCATGCAAACACACTTACATAATGTTTGGCAATTCTCGTGATTTTGAGGGGGAAACCAGAATACCTGGAGGAAACCCCATGATGACACAGGGAGAACATGCAAACTCCACCCACACAGAGCCATAGCAGAGACTCGAACCCTGGTCCCAGCGGTGTGAGGCAGCAGTGCCACCCCTGCCAGAGAGAATTCATTTTATTTTTTCTGGATCTACTGTCCGTTAAGAAAGGCTTAATGGGCGACTTGGAGTGCATTAAGCGGCTTGTATCATTTATAACATTTGTCTTAGATCTAAAGAGATTATTGTCACTATTACAAGCTGAAAAGCCATGTATTTCAGAACTGCTTTCTTATGCCAGTGATTAAACATTTCCATGTAGTTTCTGTTAATTAAAAATAATTGGAATTTTATGTGATGTTAGTTAGAATTCAAGATTATAATAGTTCATCGATTCACTGCTGTGATTTGCCAGGCTAGTGTAACGTGTGTGGTCATAGAAAATTACAAAATCAACTTGACCATTGAGATTTAAGAATTCATCAGTCCCGTGGTAATAGTGGTTTTAGTTTATATAACCTTCTTAATTTCACACAAAGTGAGTCAGGACTTCTAATAGTCTCATCTCTTGGAGCTGACTTGACATGTGTCCACCCACTTCTTGTCAGACCTGCTCTGCGTTGCTGCTGCCATCAATTGTTTAAACGCTACATGCCTCAGATGACAGGAGGTTCGCTTTTGTAACACCTGACCAGGACCAACAGCACTGTGTGAGGTTTTGTCAAGGCAGATGTTAAGGTTGCTTGCAACTCCTTGTAAACAAATGATAGTTGATGCCTCTGGAGTTCTTTCATTATACACCGATCAGCTATGACATAAAGAAGGAGCAGGAGTAAGGATCGGAGTGACTCTGACGAGGGCCAAGTTCTGATGGCTAAATGCCTGAGCTGAGTGTCTCCAAATCAGCAGGTTTTGTGGGGTGTTCCTAGTATGTCGTGGTCAGTACCTACCAAAAGTGATCCACGTCCAAAAGGTGAAGGGGGGGTGGGATCCTGGGCGCCCATGGCTCACTGATGCATGTGGGGGGCGAAGGATAACCCGTCTGGTCCGATCGCACAGGAGAGCTTCTGTAGCACAAGTTGCCAGAAAAGTTCATGTTGGCTGTGACAGAAAGGTATCAGAACACACCGTGCATCACAGCTTGTGTATCAGGCTGCGTAGCGTCAGACCAGTCAGAGTGCCCACTGACCCCTGACCACCGGCCAAAGCACCTACAATGGGCATGTGAGTGTCAGGACTGGGCCATGGAGCAATGGAAGAAGGTGGCCTGGTCTGATGAGTCACTTTTTATGTTACATCAT